TATAAACACCTTAAGAAGGGGCCAAAGGAATAGCACCGACATAATAGAGAACGAAAAATCATTTTTTAAGTAAAAAAAACATGAAAAAAAAAAAAAAAAAAATCATTTTTTTTTGTGTCGTACATTCTTATATATAGTTTCCAATGTGAAGCTAAAATATCCAAATATAGAAAAAGGACAAATAACGCTGTATGTAATCAAATGTAAAGCAAGCTCCCTTGGGTTAATTTCCACAGTAATATAAAAAAAAATCTGGATTAACTGCATCAAGGTAACGGTAAGTGTTATCAAATATACCAATTAAAAGCAGAATAGACTGTGATTCATAACAATTCATGAATATTCTGCTATTAAGGGAGGTAATTGTTGCCCATATGAATGCATATAACCTGTCCATAAACGTAACTGCCAAATCGTACATAGATAATGTAAAGGAGAAAATTGACAGCTAAGAATCGTTAAAAAAACAGAAAAAAAGGAAAATTATCAAAAACTGTACAATCAATTTATTTCAGAAGTTAATGTTGATACTATACTGAATTAAAATTAAATGTCCAGATGAATTTGTATTGAAAACATAACCCCTCTCTCTCTCTCACTTTTTTTATACACATATTTAGAAAAATAAATGCTTCCTAAGAAAGATGTATTGAGCAGCTAATAATAGTAGATTCAATATTATATATTGCTATTATATTTGTGTATATTATGCTGTACATTGGAAGTTATAATTGATAAAAATAAGAAATGAAAATTGCATCTGCTGTACCGATGGCTGATAACATGATTTATTGTCATCTGAATCCTGTTTCTTGCACCGTGGAAAATTCTAAAACTACCAAAGGGCCTAAATGCGACTGATCTTCCTGCACTTTTTTAAGTCGATGCACTTTGACTAAACATGAGTAAGAATAATATTTTAGCTCCTTAAATACCCAATGAATTTAATTGTTTATTGACACGATTGTTATGTCGGATATGTATTTAACATAAATGGATCTTAATAAATAATTTACCTACTAAACGATAGTTATTTTTTCTTTGTACAACGTTGTTATACATGTAAGCGTCAAATTCTTTACACTCTTACAAAACAATGCTGTAAAAAATATGGGTGCTTTTTCTGTAGAGTGTTGAAATATTGCAAGGATAAAGTTTCTTTTACCAGTTTTCCAGTATAAGCCTCTAATGTAAATTGTTCTACTCAGTTTCTTATTTCGTTACATTTTTTTTATTGTTCAATGAGTAATCGTCCAGATTATTCGGTCACTCATGATTTTCCTTTTTTGCATGGGAAATGTGAAATGTGTGTGTGTGTGGTGGTGAGAAAAAAGGAGAAAAGGGAGGGGGAGGGGGTAAAAATACGCTGTTGGTTACAGTCGTGCTGCTAGGTTTAAAAACAACCCCTTTTCGTTTGTTGAAATTGTGTGCAAATTTAGACCTATATATTTATTTCAAATTAAGAAAATCATCCATATATTTATTAGTTATCACATATACAGTCTGACATCTTACTTAGATGTTAAGGTATAAAACCACTAATTCATAGCCCCATTGCTTTCTATGTTAAATTCTGCAATTTCAAGCATAAATGGCTACTTTATCTTAAGTTCAAATAAAGTGGCAGTTATTTCATGTCAAAACTGTACCTTATGCTGACTTGTGCTGAAAAAATCAACATACCTTTAATTGCATATTAGAGCGTACTGGTTCCCGGAAGTTTGATAGTACAAAAACAGGAACTTCTGATCTGAACAACAGGCCAAATGAGCCCTCCTATTAAAATTTCCTATACTTCTTTATTATTCAAATAAAACTTTCAACAAGGGTTCTACAGTGACCTCAAGCCCCCAAGCTTTCTTTTGATACTTAAAACTACCCAACTATTCCCACTATTGACAAAGATACAGCTATGCGTAGGAACTATTTTGTTTATAATATGTACTACTTTCTTGTATGTTCTTTCCGACCGGGCCTGAATTAGTGGTTCTATACCTATAACAGCACCAGACTTGTTATATTGACTTCTGCTTGACTTAATTTCCTTCTATGATCTATTTCTAGCATAAAAAAACACATAAAGCTTTTGTCAAAACACTATATCACTGAATTCAAGCTCAAATTGGACTGGTAGTAACATATGCGTTAATCAAAGAAAACTACATATGGATTCTAATAGTGAAAGATATGACACTTTTTCAATTTTTACCAGTTCTGATTTGTTAATATCTCATCAAATAACAGTGTTCTTACCTATATGTCTTATTTTTATCAGAGATTCTTCCTTGAATATAAATACAGTGGTCCAAACATAAAATATAATTGATAATTTTGTCCCCCCCTTTTTTCTACATGTTGGAAAAGGAGAGTGATTTGGTAAAAAAACCATTCTTATATGTATAAACATGGATCAACAAGAGCAATTTATGTATCTCCAAGCTAGACAACTTGCTAAAATGGTTATAAAATGCATTTCAAGTGAGATTTTGGAATTCCTTTATAAGTATACACCAATTTTTCTTGAAATAAATAATTCACCAAGAAACACAATAAAACATGAACACTTACTAGATAATTTGACCAAAAACAATATTTATACTATAAACTAGTCATAATATACAAGTCTCATTGGTTTCTGTGTTAGATAATCCAAAAATTTAAATTTCAGGTAAAATCTTAACTGTGTGCATGCTAAATGACCAAAAAAGGCTAAAATACCTTATTGTAGCAATTTGAGGGCTGTAAGTTGACACTAACATAATTGTTACATAAAACAAATAATGTAACATGATTTCTGACAACAAATGTGACCAATTTTCACTGTAAAGGGTATGATTTAAAGGATTGTTTAACTAATGTCAATAAATGTTCAGAAGATAAAGATATTAATCACGTGGGATTATTGCAGTCCTCTAATTGCATAACAAATATCTACCGAGAAATGATGCACTTCTCATTGATTATTACCTGTGTCGGTTCTTATATATCTTTGGCTTTCAAATATTTGATAATGAGCGTTCCTGATGAAAGTAAATCCAGAAAAGCGCTTCGGACGCATGACATTTATAATGTGTTGTTTTCATTTTTTATACACAAAATAAAAATTTGCACATTCCACCTTCATTAAAAATTGAACAAAGATAAAAAAAAAAAAGACGTTCATTATTTGGATATGCATCAAACCACTTATGTTAAGATATCCAATCGTAGTACTAATTTATCGAAGCCATATAAAAAATCAGTCCGTTCGGAACAAATCTTAACCTAATTAGTTTTATGCATATTAGCTATGGGAAGTTAGGTAGGTAAGGTAGCCAGAGCTGTTGGTTGTATAATGCGGCTGACGAAAATAAAATCAGAAACAGGTTTCATGACTTTTCGTCATAAAATTTAGTACGAATCGATAGCCTTTGTTAGAGTTTAGTGAATATTTAAAATCTCCAGAATTTTTCAGAAGATAGAACCATTTTAGTTGATTTAGTTGGTGTACTAAGCGTAAAGACTTGCTGTTGAAAGATATACAAATTTTCCCGAGTTTTAGCATATCATATTAAAATGTGTGACTTTTATTTAATATCATCAAAATAGAAAGTTGAATGAGAAAACTGTCTTAAATACTTTACGGAAAACTTAAGTATGAAAAAGACGACATCACAATAGGATTAAGAAGATTATGCTCATCTAGTGGCACCCCTCAGATTGAGTCAAGTAGTGTTTTTTTTATGTTTTTTTTTCAAATTTCACGAGTTTTTATAAAACTATGTGTTAAACGACATTTTCCTGTCCTAATAAGCTCGAATAAAGCTTAATTTAAAACACAGGGAAAAAAAGGATTTCGTATGCAGATAACAGAAGCATGTCGTATTTACGCATTGCGTCTATGATGCATAAAATGCAAGGTGACGGATCAATAAGTTTACACAGATCGTATGTAAATGTACTAGTATAGGCTTTTCATGCTTTCCCCTTCAACCCAAACAGACCACAAGTGACGCATGTAGCTCATGTATTTTACATTCTATTGGGTAATGCATAAATGAAAAGAGAAACAAGAAGGTGAATTGTGAAATTTTTACTTATTCAGAGTAAAAATTGTACTCATATAAAAAAAAACAATATATACATTAGTACAACAAGATAATAATGAACTAAAAACATAAAACGATAAAACCACAATACAGATTACAATAGCTTGGCCTAGGAAGGGGTCAACTAAGCCAAGCCATATAAAAATATTGAAATGCTAAGTGTAACACCTGCAACATAAGCATTTAGAAATGAAGAGTCTTTAGTGTTTTCTGTGTTGTGTTTTTGTACTGTTGTTTGTCTGATCGTTTTGCACAGCCAAACTTTCTAAGAAATCTTTGGATTTATGAAGGAATTTAGTAACAGTTTGATTAGTTTGTGGTAACGAGATCACTGACTTAATAATTCGTTCATTGACATCTTAAACACATTTACAGACACGAGAATAGCAAACAAATTGTGACATATTCACACCTTAAGAAGGGGCCGAAGGAATATATCCGACCATAATAGAGAACGAAAAAACGTTTTTTCTTTTGGTCGTACATTCTTATATATAGTTTCCAATGTGAAGCTAAAATATCCAAATATAGAAACGTACAAATAATGCTGTATGTAATCAAATGTAAAGCAAGCTCCCTTGGGTTTATGTCCACAGTAATATAAAAAAAATCTGGATTATCCAAATCAAACTTATCATCAAGGTAACGGTAAGTATTATCAAATCTATCAATTAAAAGCGAATAGACTGTGATTCGTAACAATTCAGGAATATTCTGCTATTAAAGGGGAGTACTTGTTGTACATAGAAATGCATATAACCCGTCGATAAACTTACCTGCCATAACGTACATCGATATTGCAATAGAAAAAACTGACAGCTAAGAATCATTAAAAAAAAAAAGAAAATTACCAAAATCTGTACAATCAATTTATTTCAGAAGTTAATGTTGAAAATAAACAATATCTGGTAGTGTCCAAATTGCATTTTGTTCGTAGATTCATAAATATTTTTACATGTAGATTTTTCATACAAATAAATTAGTGTATTTCATCTAAAACAGCTTATAAAATGAAAGTCATGAAAAGATATTTTTACATGTAGATTTGTTCATATAAATAAATTAAAGTATTTCAGCTAAAACAGCATATATTTGTAAGTCCTGAAACCATTGCAACCAAGTTAAAAACAAGACTTCCAGCTCCATTTCCTGCACAGAAACATGTTTTTTGTTATAAATACAAAGTCATAAATCTTGAAGCATCTGACATGTTATTAAAAAATATTTGGTGGCTTGTTGAATGACTAGTATTATAAAAAGGTGGAAGAAGAACTGCATGTTGTAGAAAAAGTGATAAAATGAAACAAAAACAAACGATCCTTTAATGTTCTGTATCATTTTGATCTAGGAAATAAATGATAAACTGATAATTCAAATCCATATCGCAATACAGGAGCACTTGATATTGGAAGTATGATATATCGGGTATTGACAGTGCACGAAAAGCGAGCGCGCGCGTGGTACCAAGACGATGGTAGTAGTATTGCATGATATCATAAAAAGTTTGATTACTTCTTTCAATCTGATTTTTAGTTTTGGAATGATATGAACCCTTGAATAAATGATAGATAAGTCTCTGGTTTCGATAATTTGCAAGAGGAAAAAAACTAAGATTGCTCTAACATATCTTTCGATTCTAGTGAATAGTTGTCTCATTGGCGATCATACCATACCGTATCTCCATAAACATAATAATGTATGAAATCGATTGTAGACTGCATGCTCATTGGAAGCCAGTAATATAAAAGATAGTAACATTTTGGCATACATACCACTTCCACATCCATACTGGGAAAGGGCCTGTTTGGCAGCAGCAATGGTTTGGCTTATAACAGAAGTGCCGGATTCCAATTTGCAGTCAGTGACAACTTTGTTCAAACAATCTAGATAGGTATTTGCTGCACTGTGATTCAAATAAAATGATACAATAAATACTTAATCACTACATGTATTATCAATATACATGTATACACGTTTTAACAATTTATAAGTAATATGAATATAGCATTGAAGTTACTATTACTTCCCCTGAATTTTTTGTGATCAATTATTCCTATGTCATTAGAGTGAAAAAGGAATACATCTATTATCACTTAATTTCATTTAGCAGCATGCTATATATCGGAATATATCTAATTTTCTTAGTTGTTATTTAGGAGCATGCTATATATCGGAATACATCTATTATCACTAATTGTAATCTGAAAGAATGCTATACATATGATTACATCTATTAACCCGGATATTCATTAGACGCATGCGCTATAGAGGAACACACTATTATCCCTTATTCTCATTTAGCAGCATGTTATAAAGAGGAATACATCTATTATCCATAATTCTCATTTAGCAGCATGCTATCAAGAGGAATACATCTATTATCTCTAATTCTCTTTTAGCAGCATGCTCTGTACACCAGCAGCATGCTCTAAAGAGAAATGCAATTTACATCTATTATCCGTAATTCTCATTTAATAGCATGCTTTAAAAAGGAATACATCTATTACCCTTTTATATGATATTGTTTTTATTCTACATTTGTAATATTTTTGATGATGATACTTGATCAATATAATCTATCTATCTATCTATTTATTCTCATTTAGCAGCATGCTCTTTACAGGAATACATCTATTATCACTAATTTTATTTAGCAGCATGCTCTATCGAAGAATACATTTCTAATCTCTATAAATTAAGTATAATTCTCATTTTACAGAATGCTCTAAAGAGGAATATATCTATTGTTCCTAATTTCATTCAGCAGCTTGCTCTATCGAAGAATACATTGCTAATCTCTATAAATAAGGTATAATTCTCATTTTAACAGTATGCTCTATACAGGAATACATCTATTATCACTAATTTCATTTAGCAGCAGGCTCTATCGAAGAATTATGCATTTCTAATCTCTATAAATTAAGTATAATTCTCATTTAACAGAATGCATTACAATATATTTATTGTCCCTAATTTCATTTAGCAGCATGACATGTAGAGAATACATCTATTATCGCTAATTCTCATTTGGTAAGATGCTATATAGAGGAATACAAATTGTCATTAGTACATGTTTAAGTATAAAAAACATTATAATATATAAAAAAACGTCATTAAATTGCTTTACAGTGTTATCAAATAATTTAACATAAATGGATTAAAACAAAAGGTGTACATAAACAATAGTCTAACCTACATGCTTTTTTTATGTCTCCTGCTGCCCCTGCTACCGCGCCGGTATAGATTGTGGAGCATGCGGTTATGTTTGGAGAAGCACAATCCTGGGCGTCAGCTCCTAAAGAATGAATTATTAGTAAAATTGAGAATGGAAATGAGGAATGTGTCATAGAGACAACAACCCGACCAAAGAGCAGAAAAGATCCCAAGGCCACCAATGGGTCTTCAACACAGCGAGAAATTCCCGCACCCGGAGGCGAGCTTCAGCTGGCCCCTACACAAAAATGTGCACTAGTTCAGTGAAAATTGACGTCACACTAAACTCCAAAACATATAAATGAACTAAAATTAAAAAAAACATACAAGACTAACAAAGGCCAGAGGCTCCTGACTTGGAACAGGCGCAAAAATGCGGCGGGGTTAAACATGTTTTGTGAGATATCAACCCTCCCCTATACGTCTAGCCAATGTAGAATAAACAAACACACATCAATACGCACAGTAAAACTCAGTTTTAAAAAAGTCAGTACATGTTTAGGTATTTATGCTGAGTAAAAATGAATTTTTAGTCCCACAATATTGACACGTTTTATGTTTTATCTTGCTTTATCTAAATGCTAAAGTTTGAAATGAAAATATTTCTTTTCGATTTGCTACCGAAAAAGAAAAGAAAGATAAAACATCAATATATTAGAAGACGACAAATCAAACTACAGCAAAAGCAGCACAACTCTATATAAAAATGAGACATGAACTCCCGTGCTCTGAAAGGCTTATCAACTTCTGTGCTTATATTTGACGCCTTAAGTATTTACCTTGTAAAAAGCCGGTGATTAGTCATATTCAGTGTTTTCAATAACGAAGAAATAGGATTATTGGTTTAATTCACCATTTTCTACATAAGGAAATGACTCACCAAGTCAGGAATGTGAAAGTTGATTTCGCTTAGTTTGATGTGTTTTAGCTTTTGATTTTGCCATTTGATAAAGGAGTTTCCGTTTTGAATTTTCCGAAAGTTCGGTTTTTTTGTTATTTCACCTTTGGCTATGAAATGGATGTTCAATAACGTGAACCAACATAAAGAAAATAGGAAAAGAAAAAATGTAGCACAAAAAAGTTTCCGTACAGTTTGAGCGTGTTTCCAAAAAATAAAATTAAAGAAAATTTTCTTACCTTGCATAACTATACTAATAGATACAAGACAGGTAATAAAAGTTACGACTGACAGCTTGTCCATTTTTATGTTTCCCCCTCTATAAAATTAAACGCATATTTACAAATAGTACAATACAAATTAATTCAATATTTAAATAATAATGATAATTAAAAATTAACAAAACAAATTTTGAAATAATTTTAATAAAATTGATTAAATCAACAATGAGAGTATTTGAAATTTGAATAAAAAGAAAACAAATACAAAATTTATTTGAAAGAAATAAACCGAAACCAGATGAGAAGTAAAAAAATAACAGCAAAAATGTTAACTGCTTCTTGTATATATCATAATTTTGAAATATAATCTTTCAACTCGAAAACCGAAGAACACGGGTTTTTTTTGCAGTTTCCTTACCACGGGTTGATTCAAAAGAAAACTAGAATAATTACGTTCATTAATTTCATCATTTAAAAAAAGAATTAAGAAAAAAAAAACAAAACAAAAAAAAAAACGTTCTTTGGAAAATAAAAATCCAGATTGATAAATAGGCTGATTTAGTTCCCAATATATCGAAAAGGAATTACCTGGTTAATAAACTGTTGATGTATGTAACACTGCAGCTTTGAGGGAGTTGCAATATGTCCAACTCCTTTTATACGTGTCCTGTTCGTTATTTCGCAAGTAACCTTTGTACGAAGAAACCTTCCTTAACATTTTGTAATTTTGATAACAGTAAAAAGATATTGATAACAGAGGTCGGTTTCTGTTTTTTTATATCGTCAACTTAATCTTGTTGACCTGCTTAACAGAAAGTTTGTTATAAATCATTGAATGCAATCTAATAAAAAAAGCCTTTAATTCAGTGGTTGTCGTTTGGTGCTGTGTAACATATTTGTTTTTCGTTCATTATTTTGTACATAAATTAGGCCGTTAGTTTTCTCGTATGAATTGTTTTACATTTGTCATTTCGGGGCCTTCATAACTGACTATGCGGCATGGGCTTTGCTCATTGTTGGTGACCTAAATTTGTAAGTTTCTGTGTTATTTGGTCTCTTGTGGAGACTTGTGTCATTGGCAATCATACCACATCTTCTTTTTATAATTATTTTTCACATCTAAGTTTTCGAGTAAACCGGTCTGCTCTTGTCACATGTACATTCAATATAGAAATATTACAATATAACAATTTAGAATTCTGTCTGTGCAGGTTGAAACATAAAAGATTCTTTTAAAGTAGGTATTTTTCTACTATTTTTTATACAATTTTAAGAAAAGGTCGTCTCGATTTTTGTACATGTAGTTGCGCTCTTCTCGATCTATTCACATTCAATGTTTACATCGAGATAAGATCCGTTTGAATTTGCTTAGTTACATAATTTCAAAAAGCTAATCTTTACTGCATATCTATCGATTCCTTGGAATTTCCGCCTGACTTTATCTTATCTAGCTGCATATATATACGGATAATTAGCATGTTCCAGAGAGATATACAGCCAGTAAAAACATAAATTGAAGTTGGTACCTAGGATTTTTTTCGCATAGCAACATTTTAAACCAATTGTACACCAAGCTCCCATAGCCTGCTGTACTTGTCGTTTGCTATGTAAGGAGGAAAATAATAACATTAAAAAGAAGTTTTGTTTTTATTTCAACTTATTTCTATGTTTTCTATTTACCAGAACGTTTTCCCGTGAATTTATAATTGATAGCGTCTTTGCTAAAGCGGGACAAGCATTGAGAAGATCTAGTTTTCAGTGTTTACAGGAGATGTAATATTTTGTCACTAGATTTCTAACTGATGCTGATAACAAAATTTATTGGTATCCGAATCCTGTTGATGGTTGCATCAGGTAAAATTCTAAAAGTGTCAAATGGGTATGTGAGGGTAAATCGGATAATGCAACTGGTCTTCCTGTACTTTTTTACGCGATGTATTTTGACACGACCCGAGTAAAAACATATTCTATATCATTAAATACCGGATTCAATTCTTTATTGGCACTATTGTTACTTTGGATATGCATGTATATCTAACGTAAGTGGATCTAAACGAATAATTTACCTAGTATACTACAGTCATTTTTCCTTTGTACAACTTTTTTATGTAAGCGTCAAATTCTTTACACTCTTACAAAATAATGTTTTAAAAAAATTTGGAATTTTAAAACATTTAATTAAGATATGACTCGAAGCAAACATGACTTTTTTTACATTTTAGCGAGGTTTTTTCTACTTGTTGTACATTGGGTTTTGCAGTAATGTGTACACTGGTATCTTGATATAACACGAAAGTAATGTTTTAAACTAAACATCTGAACAATAAATATCTTTACACAATTCATATTTTTAATTGATTTCCAACATTTACACAACAGTAAATTCACCATTTTAAAGTTCTCTTGATGTTATATTCCGCACAAACGGTTGACATGGTAATTGAAATATGTTTTTTTTTAATACTTCGGCCTGGCAACAAAATCCGTGCTGAAGATGGCATTTCAATGGTTGGCATCGATATATAGATTTGAAGCCGCACCTGCTCAGAATATGGGACGTTATATCAGATGTCGAGTGTTATGGGTGTGCTTTCTGTACGGGGTTAAAATATTTCAAAGGGTAAAGTTTCTATTACCCTTTTCCAGTATAAGCCTTTCATATGAATTGTTCGACTCACTTTCTAAACCTGTTACATATCATTTAATATTGATCAATGGGTATTCGTCCTGATTATTCGGTCATGAATGAATTTCTTTTTCTGCACCGAAAAAATGTAAGGGGGGGGGGGGGGGGGGGGTAAAAAAAAGTTGTTCGATACAGTCGTGCTGCCAGCTTTAAAAACACCTCTCTTCATTTATCATTATTATGTTAATATTTAGACCTATATATTTATTTCATATGAAAATCATTTATAAATTTATCAGTTATCGAATAAACAGTCTGACATCTTATTTAGATTTTAAAGACTGGTTTGACTAATGTCAATAAATCTTCAGGAGATAAAGATATTAAACACGTGGTATCTAATCGTGAGATGACTGTCTATCGAAAAATGATTCACTACCTACTAAAGTATTGATTATTACCTTGAGAAAGTTAAACTACATGAAAACTTGAATAGGAAATTAAAAGACGGACGATTCATTATTTAGAAATCAGGGAAGTTATGTAGAGCATGCAGAGCTGTTGGTTGTATAATGTCGTCAGCGAAAATAAAATCAGAATCTCGTGAATTCTCATCATAAAATTAAGTAGGAATCAATATTATTTGGTAGAGGTCAGTGAATATTTAAACTCTCCAAAGTTTCAGAAGAAAAGAACATTTTAGTTGAGTTAGTTAGTATACTAAGCTTAAAGCCTTGTTGTTGAAGATATACGAACTCTCCCGAGTTTTAACATATGGTATTACAATTTGTTAGTTTTATTTACGCAATCGCAATAGAAAGTTGGATGAGAAAACTGTCAAACACTTTACGGAAAACTCAAGTATGAAAAAGACGACATTACGATAGGATTAGTGAAAAAAAACCTTCTCAAACTCTACACAAAAACTTAAGTTTAAGCAATACGAACACCCCCAAGAAAGGAATTTAAAATTACATTCTCCATAAGGGTAAGAAGATTCTGCTTCTCTAGTGGCACCCATCGGGTTGATCAAGTCAAGTAGAGTTTTGGTGATTAGTCAAAACGTATTTGTTATGTCGGAGATCCTACATCTCAACTACATCTGACATAATTACCAATGATGTCATGTTTCTGTTCCTAATATATTCACTTGTTCATATATTCCACTAGTCCACTACATCTGACATTATAATCAAGGTTGGCATGTCCCTGTACGAGACATATTTACTATGTCATAAATTCTACATGTCATCTACATCTCACATATTGAACAATGATGTCATGTTCTTATTCTTGCCATATTTACTATGTCATATATTCTACATGTCAATTACATCTTACTTTATTACCAATGATTTCATGTTCCTGTTCCGACATATTTACTATCTCATAGATTCTTCATGTCCACTACATCTGACATAATGACCTATAATGTCATGTTCCTGTTCCTGACATATGAACTATGTCATAGATTCTACATGTTCACTACATCTGACATTTCAAATTTATTTGAAAGAAATAAACACAGACCAGATGAGAAGTAAACAAATAACACCAAAAATGTTAACCGCTTCTTGTTGCATATATCATAATTTTCAAAAATAATCTTCCAACTCGAAATCCGAAGAACACGGGTTTTATTTTGCAGTTTCTTTACTACGGATTGATTTAAAAGAAAACTAGAATAATTACGTTTATTAACTTCATCATGTAAAAAAAGATTTAAGAAAAAAAAAATCTTTGGAAAATAAAAATCAAGATTGATAAATAGACTGATTTAGCTCCTAATATATCGTAAAAGGAATTACCTGTTTGAGATAAACAAGTTAATAGACTGTTGATGTATGTAACACTGCAGCTTTGAGGGAGTTGCAATCTGTCCAACTCCTTTTATACGTGTCCTGTTCGTTATTTCGCAAGTAACCTTTGTACGAAGAAACCTTCCCTAACATTTTGTAATTTTGATAACAGTAAATAGATATTGATAACGGAGGTCGGTTTGTGTTTTCTTTTATCGTTAACTTAATCTTGTTGACCTGCTAATAATCCATTATTTAAACTGTGTACCATGAACGGGATGATGTTTGTTTTCCTTAAATTTAAATAATAGAAAGTTTGTTATAAATCATTGAATGCAATCTAGTAAAAAAACAAATAAAAAAAAAGACTTGCAATCAGGAAGATGTATTCGAGTACAATGATTGTGAAACTAACTTTTTCATATAATTTATACTCTTATAGTCAAAATGGCTTTTAATTTAAATTTTGACAGAAGGACTAAAGACGGAGAGGCGAACTGTTACAGAACATATTAACGTTGGAACTTTTAAGGCTTTTAAGGCTTCGCAGTCTGTAAAATGGCAATGCTTTGTTGTTAATATTAAATGTAAATGAATCATATTTCTAATTTGGTAGACTTAATAAATAGAAACAGGTTTTTTTATTTTAATTTACTTGATTTGCAATGAGATAAACGACATGGCAATACAGGCAAAATTTGTTTGGATGTTTTGAGAATTTTTTAATTTTCCGATTTAACGAAGAGTCTTACTAAACTCGGATATATTTGTGTTTATGTTTATGATTATTGAAACCGGTTGTTACTTATACTTTTCTAGACCTTCGTGTGTTTTTGTCCGAGAAAAAAAAATAGATAGTAGGTCTAATGAAACTCAATTGAATTAATGCTGATGATTACTGAAACCGGTTGTTGCTTTCATTTTTGTAGACTTTTGTGTGTTTTTGTCCGAAAAAAAGTAAAATAACAAAATACCAAACTCCGAGTAAAATTCCAAACGGAAAGTCCCTTATCAAATGGCAAAATCAAAAGCTCAAACACATCAAAGGAATGGAAAACTACTGTCATATTCTTGCCTTGGTACAGTTGACGCTGTTTAATTTACTTCAACTGTTTTATTTGATTCTTACTTATTGCAATTGTTTGAATTCCAGTGGGACTTAGATTGCCTACGACTGTGAGCTTCCTTCAGAGAACATTATATTTGTTAAAGCAGGGTCGTCTATTTTGCCTGTTATGATGATACTAAAAATGAAGAAAAAAGTAAAATCACAAAAATACTGAACTCTGAGGAAAATTCAAAAAGGAAAGTCCCTTATCAAATGGCAAAATCAAAAGCTCAAACACATCAAACGAATGGATAACAACTGTCATATTCCTGACTTGGTACAGGCATTTTCTTACGTAGAAAATGGTGGATGGAACCACTTTTATGACAGTCGCATCAAATTCCATTATATTGACAACGATGCGTGAACAAAAAAAGCAGACACAATAGGTAAAAATGTCAAAAATAGGGTTACAGCAGTCAACATTGTGTTATCATCTTAATCACTATAAAAACAAACAAAGGTAAGAAAGAAGCACAAAAAGGCATACATCAAATTAAACATCCTCAGTTTGCTTTTTTATTATACGATTTTATTTATCTATGTAAAATCCGCCCATAAAGGATTGAAAGATTTTAAGTACTGGCGTAGAATCGCGCGTTTTGTCGTCCACAGTATGACGAGATACATAAGTACAGAGTCACGTCAAATGGATATCACAAAAACAGACTTAACAGTAAAAGTAATATTAATAAAGTAAAAAAATTTTGTCGTTCAAAGTATGACGGGATACATAAGTACAGAGTCACGTCAAATGGATATCACAAAAAAAAGACTCAGCAGTAAAATTATTATATCAATAAAGACAAATAAAACAATACTATAACACGTTATTAAGATGATACAACGTCAGTACGCAGAATCTATACTTCAAGACCATCGTGTATTATTTGTGAATTTGATACGGAATATTTATCAACAAGGTCTCAGTACCTTCCGATGAAAAACCTGTCAAAAGTACATTCGTATGATTTAGTA